TCTCTAAATAAAATACAAAACAGGGCTGGGATGTGGCTCAGTGGTCGAGTGCCCCTGAGTTCAATCTCTGGTACCCCCTCACCCAAATAAAGTGGCAAATGTTTTCAAAGCCGTGTCAGTTATCTGAGCCACCCATGATGGCGGGAGCTGAGCCTGGATGGGCATCTGCACAGGAGGTCAGTGGACGCCGGCACGTCCTCCTCCCTGCCTGGTGTCCTGTTCACACGGTGACTGGGAGGGAGGGTGCCTATCACCTGGCACCAGAGATGAGCAGGCTCGAATCCTGGCCTGCCACCTGCCAGCTGCTGGGGTGGGGCCAGGGCATAGGACACGTGCAGCGTTCAGCCCCGGGCATTGGAGGGCTGCAGGAGAGAGGGCAGTTCCAGCACCTGGGGCTCCTGACAGGCTGGTGCTCAGACCTGCCCTGAGTGTGGCCATCACCAGCCCAGCCACTTCCAACCATCTGGCCCCTGGGATCAAGGAGCAGCTGTGACAGGACAGCAACCCGCCTCCAAGGTCCCCAGCACACCTGCTTGCCCACTCTGCGTCTCTCCACCCCCCCCAGCGCAGGATCCATTCTCCCCCACCTGATGGTGGGAGGCTTCATGAACTAACAGCAGGAGAGGGAGCCGTCTGTAGGTGCACGATCATATCCACGTCTTCACCTCCAACTGCCTTGACCACATGTAGCCCTCTCTCATGGACGATCCCATGTCACCTTCTAAGTCCTCACAGGCCCCTTTGACAAGGGAAAAACTGTCCATGACAGGGAGGTAGCCACTTGCCCAGGGTCCCACAGTAATGGGCCTAGCGGGGCGGGGGGCCCCCAGCCCTGCCTAAATCCCCAACCTAACTCCACGGGGCTGCTCAGAATGCAGCTGCTGCTCTCCGGTGGGGAGGAGGAGGAGGAAATTCATTGTAATTTTTTTTTCCATATGATAGACACTTGTAAACGTCCCTGGAGCCAGGTGAGGCCAGGAAAATGGTAAACAAATAAGAGCTGCCTCTTAGAACCCGAGGGCCATTTCCTGGAGTGCAGGCCTGGGGCGGTGGCCTCGGCTGAGAAGAGGCCCAGAGCAGGTCTCCCCAGGATGAACAGGTGACAGTCTCCTGTCTCTGCCTCCCAGGGACGTGGGCTCCTGGCTGCCCCACCCTCTGCCTCTGAGGCTGTCTTATTTTTGGTTCCTTGGCTTTTTCTCTCCACCTGCGTGAAACTTCGTTTTGGAAGTGGAAATGTGGGCGTCTTCCTGCACCTTCTCTTCTCCAACCCCCACCCCAGGGTGCATTTCTCACCTTCCAGCTCTCTTGTCCTTTGTGGTCTGCTGTGGTGTCAGATAAAGGTGACAGTCCAGCTCCCAGCCCCTCCTTTGCGAACTGCACCCAGGGGATCTGGCATCGGCTGCAGGGTGTGGGAGTCTGTTCAAGCAGCTGTCACCTCAGGGCCTTGGCACACGCTGGGACCCAGATAGCTGCCCCCAAACACTGCAAGAGAAAACGCTCTTTACACTTAAAGGCCCTCAATAAACGTCCGTCATTCAACCTCCTAAATAAACGCTGGCAGCCCGCTCATCCCTGACAAGGTCCCCATGTCACCCCAGGCTGGGCTTTCCCTGAGCCTCCAGGGCCAGGGCTTGCTGGGCTGTTTCATGGCCCGAGGCCCTCCCAGCCCACTCCCCATCTGGAGGACCTCACCTTCCTCCGCCCTGGGGAGCCAGGGCCCTGCAGGCTGGCTGCTCCCAGGCCCCAGGTGGAGCCACCCCTCCTCCTCCTCCAGGGCTCCCTCCGGGTGCTCACCCCCTTATGTCCACCTTCGCCCCCAAACAAATACATGCACGACTTTGAACCAGGCTCTGACATGGCCAAGGGGGTTGCCAGACACCTGTTCCCAGTGGAGGGATAGGAACTAACCCTGTTCCCAGTGGAGGGATAGGAACTAACCCTTCGCTGTGCAGGCCTCCTCTCTGGCAGCTGATGAAGGGAGTTCCTTTCCCCAAATCACTTGAGCCAATGGCCGTGAACTTCCAGTTTGCCCGATCCAGCGGTCAGTTTTCATCCCCATCTTCCTGACAGCCTTAACAGTGGATCGCTATTTCCTCCGTCTTGAAACACGTTGTTCTTCACTTACTCTGGGGGACCCCGTGCTTTCCTGGCTTCCCTCCTACTTAGCTGACTGCTCATTCCACATCTCCCTCACTCAATGCTCTCCCCTTCCCTTCCATCCTCTCCCCTCCTCTCACCACTCGCTTAGTGATCTTGCCCATTCTCGAGGCATTAAGCATCATTTGGACACTGATGAGCCTATTTCTAGCCCTGTTCTCTCTTTGAGCTTCAGATTCACATAGCTGACTGCCTGTGCAGCCCCTCCCTCTTCTTGGAAGTCTCAAACTTTGAACTCTTGCTTTGGTTCCCTCTGTTCACCTTACCACTTAAGCTGATCCAGCCCTCTGGCCTTACCCACTCAGAAGACAACAACACTGTTCATCCACATGTTTAAACCTACAGCCTCACACCCTCATTCTTACCTCCTCCTTGTCCTTCTCATATCAATGTTGGAAAATTTCATTGGCAATTCCTTCAAAATATCTCTGGAGTCAAACCAAGTCTGTCCTTGCTGCCACACCCTGTCCCATTTGTTCTTCAAACAGCAGCCTGGGTGATCCTTTAAGGTGACAAATCACATCATGTCTATTCTCTGTTTAAAACTCTCAGGTGATATCTAAGCCAATGCAATAAGACAAGAAAAAAAATAGGATTGTAAAAGAAGAAAAGAAACTCACGTTGGATTCTGATCACAATAAACATCAAATTACGGGCTGGGGTTGTAGCTTAGCAGTAGAGCGCTTGCCTAGCATGTGTGAGGCCCTGGGTTTGATCCTCAGCACTGCATAAAAATAAGTCAATAAAGTAAAGGCATTGTGTCCAACTATACCTAAAATATTTTTTTTAAATAAACATCAAATTACATTTCATTGTTATTTCTCATCAGTCTCTTTCAGTCTGCAAAGTGTTCTTATTCTTTCTCTAACTGTTATGTTCTCAATGGTTCTAAATGGGGACCCTCCAACTGGGCCCACCCAGTGCATACAAAATTGACAGAATGTGTATGTATGTTGGCTTCAGTAGAAACCACAAAAACTTTCCAAATGGATTATATTCAATGTGCATTTTGAAATGCAGTGGTTGCCCATCCCCAAGAACACTTGGTGTTTTCTATGTTCTGCTTAATGCTAATCCTTCTGATGGAAGTGAAATAAGATCTAATGTAGTTGGATTTGCATGTCTAATGATGTGAAGCACCTTTCATGTGCTCAGTGCTATTTGTATATCATTTTTTGTGAACGTCTATTTAATTATTTTCTTCATGGAAAAATTGGTTTGTCTATTTTTTATTTCTTATTAACCTTATTTTAAATTGAAAAAATCATAACTGCATACAGTGGGTATGGTGTGATCTTTTATTGTATGTATGCAATATAATTAAATCAAGTTTAATTAACATTTCCATCATCTCACTGACCCTTTTTTTGTGGTGAGACATTTGAAATTTTCTTAGTTATTTTGAAATATACATTATTATGAACTAGGGTCACTCTGTTGTACAATAGATCTCAAAAACTCATTCCTCCTGGCTGAAAACTTTGTACCCCGTGACCCACAATTTCCAATTCTGTTTCTTCCCACGACTTTGTATTGATATGTATGCGTTTAAAAAAATATTCTTATATGATACAAGTCATTAAATGTTGAAAATTTAAAAATGTTTATAGAGGAAAACATGGGCAAATAATATCTTCATTATCCTTGAGTAAGTAAAGATGTATTTAATACAAAAATACAAAAGACAGTAACTGTGAAGAAAAGATTGCTAAATTGAACATTAAGAACTTCTGTTCCCTGAAAAACCTTTAATAGAGTCAAAAGGTAAGGCATAGAGTTGGAGAAGACAATGTGTTCTGCATACAGAGTGAGCTCTGTGTGCGTGTGTGTGTGTGTGTGTGTGTGTGTGAGATCCAGCAGTAAAATGCAATGCTAAGTCACAAGGGGAGGGCGCTGCCTATAGGGACATGGATGACTCTCACATAAAGTTCATCGAAAGGAAACAAGAGAAAAGAATAGCTATTGCCCAATTACATCTATATAAAGTTGAAAAATAGGCAAAACTAACTTTTCCTTTTGCAAAACTTACCAAGGAGCTAACAGATGCTCCTTGGCTTATGAAGGCGTTGTCCCAATAAACCCATCACAGGTTGAAAATATCACAAGTCAGAAGTGCCTTCCGTGCACCTGCAGAGCACGCAGCTCAGCCTCGAAGCCCACCAGAGAGTTGGTGGTGTGGCTGCCTGGGAGCTGCGCTTACTGCCTCTGCCCAGCATCGAGAGAGGATCTGACCACATATCAACTGCTAGCCCCCCCAAAAGATCCAAATCCAAAATTTAAAGTACGGTTTCTACGGAACACAAATTACTTTCATGCCATTGGAAAATCACAAGTTGAACCATTGTATACTGAGGACCATCTGTATACGTAAGACTGTGCACTTTATATGTGTGCTAAGAAGAACTCCCTCCAGGGGCTTTCCATCCCAGTCAGATAAGCCCAGGTTTTATGGAGGACATAATAGGGACCCCACCCAGGTCCCTGACCTCTCCTGCTGTCCTTGTCCACCTCCCTTGCTCCCTCTGGCCGTCCTGGCTATTGCCGATGCTTCGGCACACAGAGCTGGTTCCAGCATGTGGACAGGGCACTGAGGCTCCCAGTTCTTCTCACCCCCCACCACCAGGTAGAGGACATTTCTCCAGCCCACTAATGGCAAGCTTGCTCATGTGGTGGGGTCTGGTCAATGGAATGTGGAGAGAGCCCTGGGGTTCCGTTCCTGGCTGGGCCCCAAGGTGGCTCACCATGCGCTGCTTGTCCTATACCTTTTCTGCTCCAACTTAAGAACATGCCCTCCCTGGCCTGCTGATCCAAAGAGGATGAGAGATACAGATGTGCAGTTGAAAGGCAACCCCACCGAGCCCACCCTGCACCAACCAACTTCTAGCTGAGCTTCAGAGCGGCATCAAGAATACATAATTGTCCTGAGACAAGTTTGGGGGTGTTTGTTATACAGCATCATGATGGCACTAGCTGACTAATACACCACCTGAGTGTCTTTATATTTGTTGTTGCTTCTGCCCCCGAAGCTTTTCTTCCAGGGTTCATGTGCTGTCACTCAAGTCCTTGTTCAAATGCCCTTTCTTCAGGGTCCTTCTCCAACCGCCATATCTAAAATAGCACTGTCTGTCCCCCACCTTTCCCTACCTTCTCTTGTCCTGCTTTATATTTCTTCATAGCGCTTTCTGCTACATGATGTTTTATGAACTGTTCATCTGTTTATTCAGCCTTCCATAGAGAATGCAAGCTCCACAGAGCCAGAGACTTTATCTCGTGCATTTGCACTGCCTGTGCCTAGCACAGTGCCCAGTTCATCTGGGGAGTTCAATAAGTATTTGTTGATTGGACAAACCCGCCTGTGTCCTCTCCCCTGCCTACCAAGGGGACGCTGGCACAGACACACAAAACGACCCAGTGTTAGTTTGGTGGAAGGGAAAAAAGCGAAAACAGAGAAACCTGAGGAGGCTGACCCACCAGCCCCTGGGAAAGTTGTGCCTCTGTGAAGATAATGAGGTACAGAGGGCCTGTCCGTAGAAGCTCACTTACCCCAGGCGTCCCTTCCTGGACTCTCCCAGCTAGGGAACAGGCCCCAGGCGGAGGTAGAGCGGCCTCCTTGGGGCCCCAGCTGTTTGCCTGCTCCGCCCACACGCCAGTTCTTACCCAAGTCTGACCACAGCCCAAGACCGGGTTGAGTTCCGCCCGGGTGTCCACCTCCGTGCTGAGCTCTGCGTGGGCTCCTGACCTCCAAGAGCTGGCCGGGTAAACAGCTCCTTCATTACTGTTTACCCAGGCAACACAACACGGCAGAGCAGGAATTTGAGCCCCTGCCCATGGGTCTGGTCTTGAAGCCACTGCCCCCCTGCACGGGGTAGGGCACCTCACAGAGCTCCTGGGCCTCAGAAGCAGCTGTAAGTCCCCTGAGGGCTCCCGAGTCGGGAATCTGACTTTGTGGAAGCTGCGCATTGAACCTGATCCGCTGTCTGGGAATTGTTTTCTGGATCTTAGGTGGATAAATAAGACAGTTCTCCCTTTTTGGCTTCAGAATAAAGCTTCCTCTCGAAATGCTTAAATAAGGGAAGGAGAAGACACCTACAGACACCTATAAATAGAGGTGTAGACAGAGTTAAGGAGATAAATAATCTTTAAAAAGGGAAAGAGGAAATGGCGCTAGAAATATTTAGAGGGAACGGACTTGGAGAGACTAAAAATGGCCTTGGCTTCTACCGGGACCTAGCCCAGCGGCTGCAGAGGGATGCACACAGAAGTCTTTGGCCAGAGGACAGGAGAGATGCAGAAATTTTCTCATCAAATAACTTTCTGAGCAAAGGTCTCTGGGTGTGTGCCAGCTCACCCCACCCGAGGGTGGCCCTGCACAGCAGACAGGGCAGCGGCAGGACCAACCCGGAGTGCAAACAATGAGGTCAGCAGCACCAGCCTGGGCCTGCGAGAGGGTCGTGGTCAGCCCGGAGGGAAGGAGATCCTCAAGTCATCCCTGGGGGCTCCGTGATTCTCCCAGGCTGGTGGTCTCACGTAGCAGCTAAGAGCAAGGCACTTTGGTGACAGACAGACCTGGTCTAGTCTTGATTCTGCCCGTAGCTGGCTGTGACCTATGAGCATGTGGCGTCCCCACTCTGAGTCTGTGAGCAGGAACCATAGCACCTGCAGGATCCCGGGGTTTCGGGGGTGAGATCACCCACGGACACACGTGGGACCCGAGCCCAGGAAGGGGGCTGGGGCAGCTGACCTCTGTGGACTTGAGCTCTTTGCAGCTGGACAGGGACCCTCCTTAATTCAAGCCCATTCTAAAAACCATTGCATCGTTGGAGTCTGTGCTGAGGGATGAGGAAGAAGCTGCACAGGTACTTATTGTTAACGATAAGGAAAAATAATGATCCTGGTGCTGCTCCCAGGAGCCTCTGGTCTGCCTCGCTGCCCATTCCCCGGGCGAGGGCACTTCCTAATGGCAGAATATGACAATGCCAAGTCCCAGGCTACATCTGGGAACCTGCCCAGGGCCTGCACTCAGGGATGTAGGGAAGGTTTGGTGGCCTGCAGCTCACGGTGTGGCATGCACCGTCTGCAGGCCTCGGGACCACACAACAGGTAGACCCAGGTTCACAGTTGGCACCAAGGACTCCTCCTCTGGGGGAAGTGAAATCTCCTGCTTCCGTGGCCACACTAGGGTCCTTTAGCATTCCGTGGACCCAGCAGCCGCCTCTCATGGACGACAGGCCCCGTGTCAAGGACCTCAGTGCACACCCCCCGCCCCCCCAGGGGAGAGAAGGTGCAACTGGAGCAGAAAAGCAGCAGCGTGTAACTGTTAACTGGATCCATCCAGCTGCAGGCTCAGCCTAACTGCAGCAAGAGCGAGGCCGGGCAGGAGGCTAGGCACCAGCCCAGGGAGAGAGGCAGCGGCAGCAAAGGTGGGGACTAGGGGTGGGATCATGGGTTTTGTTGTTAGGCTGAGCGGACGCCCTCAGGAGCGGAGATACAGTGGGAGAGAAAGAAGAAAGACGAGAAGGACCCGAGGTGTGTGGCCGAGTGACTGCAGGGAGAGACCCCAGACCCCAAGATCTAGGAGATTGTGGGAGCTGGTGCTGGGGGAGCCAGGAGGTCAGACCGGGAAGGAAGTCCTGCCAGATGTCAAGCAGGCGGCCGGATCTCGGAGATGCCAACGCGAGGATGGTCAGTGCAGAGCGAATGTATCAAAGCCCTGACCTTGGACGAGATC